TGAACCGCTGACGATCTGCACAGCCTGATTAAATATGGAAATCTGGCAATGCAAACCCTCTTTAAAGAATTCATTTTGTGTTCTCCCTGACAGATACCGTGCCTGTGTGGGAGCGCCCCGTGCCTGCTGTGCCGGTGCTGCCCCAGCGGGAACAACTCCACCATAACCCGGCTGGTGTACGCCGCCTTCCTGCTGCTTGGCGTGAGCGTCGCCTGCGTCATGCTCGTACCAGGCATGGAGGAGCAGCTGAAGAAGGTTGGGTCATGTCTTTGTTAACCACCTGTGACATTTGTTCTACCAAAGGTGTTGTAAATGGCATCTCAAAAGCATGGGTTTTGCTTGGAGATATGTAATTGTGCTGCCACTCATGCTTCACAGTCACCGTGAATTTAATGGTAGATCAGATGAACAAAGAACTCGTGGGACAGTCACTGCATAGGTGAAAAGCACAATTTAGAAATAAAGTTGTACCTATTCTTTAATAGCTCAGAGCAGAAAAGTAAAATCTTGTATCAAACAAGAAAATGTAATTTTCTTGTATGCACGTGAAGTTTAAAATTGCATATTATTGGGATGCTTGTATTTGTGGAGCTTCATTGATCTTGATTGCTGTTAATAAGAGAAAACCCCCACAATCTAAGATGTCTTCCAGTTTTATTGTGCTGTTCTAGTGAAAATTCTAATTTAAAATCTACAAATGCATAATAAAAATGTTTTTCAGTAATGGTAATAGCATATTTTTCGCTAAGGAGATTAAGAAGTGTTTATAGGATTTTACAGTTTATTAGTTCTATGAAGATATGATAGTGCATGTAAAATTGCAGAGTGGGAGTTTCAGTGTGGTGTAGTAACCACATTAGTGCTCTCGTGAGAGCCATGTTAGTCACCTGGGAGAGAGAATTAATCCTTCTGGAGCATGGTTTGCCTTCAAAAAGATGTTGCTTATGCCCTGGTAGAGACAGGAAGGGATGTTCTCAGCTGTTTGCTATGGATGTGCCAGATACTTCTTATTCATGGTGATGTTACTTTTGGGGGGAAGGCTGTTTGTGTTTTAAAGAATTGTAAGCAGGCTGCCTTCTCCTAGCTATGCCACGAACCTCATAGTAACTTTCAAGTCTAGTTTACCAAATCCCAGATCTCTTATTTATATCCTGATTCAGATGAACAAGTGAAAACTGTACTTCTTTGAGAATTTCTGAAGTTGCTAACAAGAAAACTCCCAGTGGTAATATGATTTAGTGGTTTTGTGTAGCATCTGCCTATGTGGGATTTTTTCCCTTGAATGTGTTTTATGTTCTAGTTGGAATGTGACTAACAGTACAGCCCTTCAGTATCATATTTTCTAGCAATGTTAATAGTTGCCTAGTGTTACAATATTAATTAATTGTATAATACTAAATTGCTAATACATATTTACTCCCCTGAGGCCTTTTACAGATCACTGAATTATCTTTTATTTGTCACAGATTCCTGGGTTTTGTGATGGAGGGATGGGAACAACTATTCCTGGTGTGCACGGCCACGTGAACTGCGATGTGCTGGTGGGCTACAAAGCTGTGTATCGTGTGTGCTTTGGAATGGCCATGTTCTTCCTTCTCTTCTCCTTGTTGATGATCAAAGTGAAGAGCAGCAATGACCCAAGAGCAGCAGTGCACAATGGGTAAGATCCAGAAGTGAGAACAGAGGTGGGTGCTGTGTGCCTGTAAGGTGCAGCTGCCGTGGAATGACAGCCCTTGGCTGAGCACGCTGGTCACATTTGCTGTCCTGCAAACAAAGAATTCCATGGTGGCTGGAGGAGTGTTGTTGCAGTAGAGGGCATTGAAAGTTCTTAGAATTCCTAGACATGGCAGATTAGTTTTTATAAGAGGCAAAGATACATGTGTCTGCCACTCCTCAGAGCCTGAACTATGATAATGTATAATATGTTGTGATGTTTCTTAAGTTCTGCTTTTGTCCAAAGAGAACAAAATTTAGAGATGAATAATGGTACAATATTTCTTCCCACTAAGATTTTTTTTTTCCACAAATAGAAAGATTCAAAAGCTTTATCTGTCCTCTAGGAATTATATTTCTTGACTTTGATGTTTGCAAGGGCTTGCTCTTTTCTGAACAGTTTTACTTTTAAATATTATAACAGTTATATATAGATATATAACATACGTTTTCCCACTCTGTTTTCTGCAGTCTCTCTTCTGCATGAAGAAGAGTGAGTGTTGTTTAGTTTCTGGGCTTCCGAGCAAATTTTTCTTTTGTATTTCATTATAGTTAGAATTATAGGAGATAATAATGGAATTTCAGCTTGCAGGTTGACACAAATGGGAGTTTTCATCCAGGCTTAGCCTATGTGTAATGCAGCTTCTTGACCCAAGGAGATGTAAATATTTGTAGTAGGGCATGGCAATGAAAAGCATAAAACCACCAGGGCTTGGTGGTCACAGTGATTGCTTGGACGACTACGTCTTCAAGATTATTGTATTTAAGAAAAGCTGTGAACAGCTAAGCCATAAAACTGAAGAAGTTATTTGCTTTTATTTTATATTCAGCATAATAGGATTAAGCATTTCTAGCATAAAATGAGAAACTTCAAATGATTCTGCAGAGGAAAAGAAGGTAATGAAGACTGAGCAGAACGCTGCTTTGTTTACTGCTTTTGTTTTGGTCTGAAGAAAAAGAGACAGGGATGGGGTGCAGCCTTAAGGTGTGTTAGCAGCAGTGACT